TCTGTTTTGTCTGCAGGTGTCGAGCTGGGCATTGCAAGGTGAGCAGTTTTATTCATGATTTCTGAGAGTTTCCCATGAGACAACTGCTCTTGTCCTCCTGCCCTGAAAATCTCTCTGCTCCATGTTATGGTAGAAGTCCCTCCCGAGATGGGATGGAGGAAAAGGCATGGATACCTGCCCAGCAAGGACTGCTCCTAAGTCCACTGCTGACTGCTGGGGCTGATCCACACCCCCACAACTGGTGGGATGCCCATCAGCAGCCACTGCCTCAGCTGCTGCTCAGAGGCAGGAGAAGCCAAGGAGTGAAGGGGAAAAAAAGGATTGTGCCAGCTCAGTTCCCAACAAGAGGATTAATGTTACCTTTAAAATTAGGAAATTAATTCACAGAGCTCTGCTAAGCAGCTATTAACATGGCCACATATTTAATACTTTCCTTGCAAGGAAATGGGAGGCAAGGCATTTACATCCTGATGCCTCAAGTTTCCTGGCACGTTGCCTTATCCCTGTCTAAATGCCAGCCCTGAACACAATGCCAAGCCCAACCTTGAGCTGACCCTAGGGTGACAGCAAGACTTGGAATCTTCCCTTTCAGAAATACTGTCTCTCTAAACTGATCATTACTAGAAGATCTTTAAGGCCCCTTCCAACTCAAACCATATCCAAAATGAGCATTAGGAGCTGGAACAGGATGGCCAGAGCAGACTGGGGTGATAGTTCAGGTGAATTATACAAAGGCAGTGTTGTACTTCTGCTATTTTCTCCACTAATCTCCACAGGTAAGATCACCCCACTTTTAAAATCTGCAGAAGATGGGCTGTTGGGAAAAGAAATGATTGCAAATAGAGCAGTCTCCATTTTAAACTCCTTGTTTCCCCTCATTATTTCAGGAAAAGCTACTGAAAACCCTTTTCTTTGTATCCAACCCCTCATACTGTGGTTGGTGGCAAAAGGTTCCACTTCTGGCCAAAGAGAGGGATGGAGATATGAGGAACCTCAAAAGCTGATCACCAGGCTCTGGGAGGGAACTCTGCCCTCTGGTTTTGATGTTTTTCTCCCCTAGGACCCACTGGTGAGGACAACATCACATAACTCCTACTGCAGGTGGATATAGTTTTCGTGGCATGGTTTTTAAGGACAAAAATCACACCTGTTTTTTTTTCTAAATTGCCTCATTTCTAAGTATTTTTCTTCTCCATTAGTTTGCTGATGAAGACTGAACTAGAAATCACAGAATCCTGGAATGGTTTGGGTTGGAAGGGACATTAAAGCCCATCCAGTGCCACCACCCTGCCAGGGGTAGGGACACCTTCCACCAGCCCAGGTTGCTCCAAGCCCCGTCCAACCTGGCCTTGGACACTTCCAGGGATCCAGGGGCAGCCACAGCTTCTCTGGGCAACCTGTGCCAGGGCCTCCCCATCCTCACAGGGAAGGATTTCTTCCCAATACCTAATCTAAATTTCTCTTTTTTAGTCATGGATGACTTCAAACTGCCCCATGAGACTACAACACAACAGTGCTCTTTTCCAGCATGGCAGGACTGAGTGGAGCTCCTGCTTGGTCATCTGCAGTTACTTATTTCTAAAATTAATGATTTGTTCATCTCTGACATTAAGAGACAAATGCAACCTTTGCCCCCCGAGAACTCACTGCACGAAAACCAGGCAGAAAAGTACAACCCTGAATAATCCAGAGGAGGAGAAGCAACTGTTCACCTTTCATTTCTGTCATCACAGACACACAACTTCTGAATTTTGGGATAAGTGACATTTTCAGAGGGAAGGGAGTGGGTGAGAGGACGCCGAGCTTCCCACCAGCATTCTGGAGCCTGAGCCAAGCATTACCTAAGACTGTTTGTATATTATTAATCTGCTTTCGTAACGATCTGCATTTCTCCAGCACTACAACCTCGGCCCAACCTGAGAACATCCCGCTCTGCTCAGCGCTCGCAGAGCTGGAACATCTGCACCCAGCTTCATCCAGCTCCTCACAGATGGCTCATCTGTCTCCAAAAACGTTCCTGACAATTGTGGTTGTCCATCACTGTCAACACTTCCTTCCCCACTTCAATTCTGACTCCTAGTCTTAATACAACTATAAAACACACATGTCCAAGAAATGCTTTTCCAACCAGACTGACCAGCGGGTCCTTCACTTCTTTGGGCTCTTTTTCCTTCAGCCAGCTGAACAGAAGCTGTTTAAGGAGGCCAACAACAATTCTTTCTTTGTTCCACAGCTACTGACACAGCAATGTGCTGCTCTTCTCTCCCTTCCTCCTTGCATCCAAGGACATTCCACTCCTTTTTTCCCCTTCTTTTCTTTGTTGTTTTGGAAAGCCTTTAGCTTATGTACATAAAGGTCTTCCTAAACTGTCCCTTGCTGGAGAATGTGGCACCAGACACTCAGTTTAAGCAGCTAAATTATTTTAACTGTCTTTACTGTTGTCTCCCAGCCATTCAGTGGTTTTGCTCTGGTGAGGGTTCAGTATCTTCAAAGCCTCAGAATTGTCCTGGTCTCTCAAAGGCGAGTCAGACACGTGTGATGGGCTTTCAGAACGAGGTGATTGCAGGCAGAACAAAGGGCTCCACGCTGTTATTTTAATGGATTTTCAATTCTGTTGCCAGGTCAGTAATCCTTTTTCCCCCCAGTGTCACTCAGAGGCTTCAAGCCCCACAGCTGGGGAGGAACAGGGAGTGTTTGTTTTATCCAGGAGGACATCACACGGCACGGCTCCTTCCAAGCAAATCAATTTATCCACTGTTGACAGCAAGGATTCCTCGGTGGTGATGCCGAGTTGTGCTACTCAGGAGGTTACTACGAGTGCACTGTGCACACAACTCCCAGCTATCAATCTGACAAACATCCTTAACCATTTTATTTGCCCTTATTTTTCTTCCTGAGGCTTGGTAATCCATCAGACTCGCGGTCTGGAGCGTGCCGCACGGCCCTTCTGGAAAAGGCTCTGACGCAATAAAACCAAATTATTGTCAAAAAAACAGAATAAAAAAAAAAATTCTTGTACTTTCAGAATTATTTCCCTTTGTGACAGGAAATGAAGCTCTGATTGGGGGTTTAATCACGTGCTTTATTTCAGTGCATGTCTTCAGCCAGCACGTGCTGCAAGAAGTCCCCTGCTCTTCCCAAATAATCAACCACTGTCACCCGGTTCCATGTTCCCTCCAGCACCAGGCATCCAAGGACCATTATCTGCAGGGATCACTTTGCCTTTAACAGCCAGGGAAAGGGAGGCAGGCAGAGGAGATGCTGGTCTCCAAGGATCCCAGCAAGGGTAACAGCAACGCTGGGAATCGGCCCAAGGTCTCCGAATGCTGAATCAAGCGCCGCCGCTCTGACTCATCCCGGGAATTGTTTGCTGAACACGATGGAATTTTCGGAAGTTCCATGGGCTGCGTCAGCAATTTGAGCAGAAGAAGGGATTCCAAGAGCTCTAAGGTCAACTCATCAGCCTTGGCACTGATCCCTTCATCAAGGCCTCATGTCTGGGAGCCAGTGACAGTTATTTCTGGAGTCTACACTTATAGCAGTGGAGATTTCCTGGGAGATGAACAATCTTACTCCCAGGGTGTAATCCTGCTGCAGGCATGAGGGGCAGGACATCTCCCACCCTCAGCTGTTGTGTTCTGTCACCAACACACAGGATTTATTCTGAAAAAAAAATTCTGGCCGAGGGATGAGCAGGGCTTTAAAACTCTTTCCTAAAGGAGTCTGCAGCCAAGGTAAAACAACCTATTTCTGGTTTAATGTTGGCTGTAAGGATTGTTTCTTGCTCTTTTCTCCAGTGATGAGAGATGCCAAAAAGCTTCAGTGAGTGATCTATGCCCTGGATGTGACAGAATGTTTGAAAGAGCCATCTCCCTTACCTTTTCCAGGAGGAAACTGAAGCTAAAACTGCATCCATTTCTCAGTTACGTACCCAGCAGGATGACTTAAGCACTCAGGGGAAGAAAGCTGAGATAGATGAGGTATTTTAAGCAGAGACAGCACATTTTACTGCCCTTTCTGGGAGTCTGCAATGCTTCAGATTTGCAAGGAATACGATGACTAATGTGTTCTGAACAAAACCAGACCTGGGCATCGCATTCCTTTCAAGAACTCAACGTGGAAGAGGAGAGGATCAAGCCTTAATATTTATTTATGCAGCCACCACACTCTCCCTGCCTGGCCATCTGGGTCAGCACGAAAGCAGACAGGACAAGACAGTATCTGGCACAAAAAGCCAAGCAAAACACGTCCTGGTAATAATTTAGAACAAAGACTTTGCTTGTTATTTTCCTCTCCAAAGCAGGAGCAGGCACAGGAAAGCATTAACTGTTCCCATCCCCCCCAAAGGGGTAGGAGGAGAGAGAGCAAACTCCTCGGATTTCAAAGGAATAGAATGGCACCTTCCCACCACCACAGAATTAGGGTTAAACCTCAGTAATACAATAAAACTCAAGCTGTAAATCTCACGTACACAAGTGACAGTGTTCCATATGTTCCATACAATGCACTCCTGCCAGAGCAGCAAGTGAGTTGTGTACAGCTCCAAGGGCTCTGAGCTGCTTGGGAGGATTTCCCAAAAAATACCCAAGTGCACACACAGCAGCAACACTCAGCCTGGGCCTCCCCCCACCATACCCTTTCCAACAAAACACCGCTCAAACTCTGGGCAATTTTGTTCTCACCGCTAAAGAAAAACCACAATTATTCCAGTAATAACCATGTCACATCCTAACATCTGTAAGGAGATAGCAGGATGGTTGGGAAAGACAAACTCTCAGAGTAGCAGGGGAGTGTGTATTTGATGCAGTCTGAATTTGAATTTCACCTCAGAGAAACAACTTTCCCGGGCAATAAAACTCCTCCCAGAGGTTCTCTGCGGAGGCTCCCCGGGAGCCGTTTGAGCGCGCACGTTTTCCGGAGTGAGGTGAGTCACAGGACTTCCACTCCAACTGATGTTTTCCCAAGGCCCCAGAGAGCCCAGAGAAGGATGTTTTCCATACCTGTGAGGCCAATCTCCTCATGGCCTCCTCCTGGCGCCGGCGCATCTCGGGGGTGCCCGGGCAGCTCCCGCTGGTGATGGACGGGTGAGCAGAAGGTGGCTGGGTCAGGGGCAGCTCCCGGTTGGCATCCACATCTGCCCAAGGAAAAAAAAAGAGCTTAGGAATTGCCACAGGACAAGCACTGACAGCTTTATTACAGACCAGGCAGCTCCTAAGCATGGAAGTTAAAAAATAACTCCTACAAATACTCTGGGTTAGGATTTCAGGGATTTCCAGGCCGGAGGCTCCCCAAGAAACTGCTTTTTGGAGCAGCACTTTTGGGAAGGACCTTTAAGATACAGCTTTGAGACTGTCTGAGTCCAAGGAGTGTTTGGACCATGCCCACAGGCCCATGGTGGGATTTTTGGGGTGTCCTGTGCAAGGCCAGGAGTTGGACTGGATGATCCTGACGGGTCCCTTCCAACTCAGCATATTCTATGATTATTCACCTTCTCCACTGTAATTTCACTGGCTTTAAAGTAATGACAATAATGGAGTGAACTGGGCACTCTGGAAGGCTCTGCCTTCAGGTTTGGTGGATCTGAGTGCAGAGCTCTCCTGCTCTGCACTTCTGCCAACAGACCTCGTTATGAGCAATTGCTGGTTAATTTGGTTCCAAGTCCTCCTTCAGCACAGACAGCCAATTTTTCTGAATTATGGGCCTATTTTCTAACATAAATAAATGGAGAGCCCCAGCTAACACAGCCATCTGAAGCCCATTAATGTAATCAGGGGGAGAGGAGAAGGAGCAGTACCAGGATCTGGAAAAGGCTTGCAAGCAAATAATAAATTATCCTGGAATCATCTCTGGCAAGTTTAACTGTGTTCTATTGCATTTTAGCTGCTTCTTTTGCCTGGCAAGCAGAAACTGGCTTTACCAGCAGGTTGCTACCACAGCCCATCCACCTGGCCTTTGTGGATAACATTCCCAAACCACACTGATTTTCGCTCCCAGGAACCCACACAGAGGATTTCTGAATGACACCAAGACATGCAGCACTTGCTGATGTCTAATTACTGGTTATTTTAGGACTGTTTTAAGAACAACACCACTCTGAAGTGCAGCCTGTGCTGGCACAGGGTTCTCCTGCCTGGATTGCTGCAGTGCATCCCTGAGTTTGACTGGAAATCATCATGCAAACAATGACCCATTTAATGGCAAACAACAGAGGAGGAGGATGCTGCCTCCATAATTAAACCCTGGGCATTAGAATGAGGCACATCCTTGATTCTGAGCCTGTAACACCACTGTCACCTGTATTCATTTTCTGAGACAGGAATTAGAAGGATGAGGCTGCACTGAAGCCACTTTACTAATGCTGATTGCACAACTGCTGTAGCAGAGTCAGACCACCTGATTAGCACTTATTATTAAACACAGATTTCACTAAGCATAATAGGGTTTTTTTCAGCATGTGGAAAAAGAAACAACAAAGAAACTTATCATAGAATCAGAGATGAATCATAGAATATCCTCAGTTGGAAGGGACCCACAAAGATCTCACAGAATAATTAGCATCTTCTACAGTTAAACTAGGACTTGTGATCTCTTTAGGAAATAAAGTCAAATTAAATACTGATTCTGAAGGTTTCCATCCCAATAACTAACACTGAGGAATCATTCAGCTTTCAGCTTCATGGACACACCAGACTGTGTTAGGATCTTCATCCTTTGTGCATGAAGGGTGCAGGGCACCTTCTCATGGGAGAAAACCAGCTTTTAGTCCAGAAAGAGTTAAGCACAGTGGTCTCTTTAATCTCCACAATCCCCCCCAGCAGACTGGGGACACACACACACAGTTGGTGCACTGCAGAGCTGCAGTTAAAATATAGAAACAAGCCCTGCCTTTCACTCCACATTGTTCATTTAGCTCTGACAAGTGACACTATTGAACATGCCAACCCCCGGTGACATTTCAGCTCTTCTGACAGGGTAAGAGCCCTGCACTCCAGTAAACAGATTTAACTGCAGCTTCTCTGAGGTACAGTGACCTACATCCTCCAAGATACCTCCAGGTACCTCATCCAGTATTTTTAGTCCTGTCTTACTCGCTTACTGAGAGCTGAGTGATTTTAAAATGTTGTTGTCCCCACCTGCAAACCTGCCAGCACGGAGTGATGGGAACTGGATGGGACCACAGGAGGGAGAGCAAACCTGCTGCTGAGCCTACATGGGCTCGTGACCCACCCTGAACATTTATACCACAATACCCTTAGACAATCCATGCTGGAAGGAGAATGCACTGCCATGGATTTGTAATCAGAGAACATTGGCTGCCTCATCTCCCTGGAGATGGCACAAGCAGGGGGACTGGACTGGATGACCTTTAAAGGTCCCTTCCAACCCAAGCCAGTCTGTGCTTCTGTAATT